GTTCAAAATCATATTAAATTTAATAATAAAATTGAACCAATCAAAATTAATCATTTCAATAACAATTAGGAAATGATTGACATAAAAATCGACCAATCATACAAATGTCTGCCATGCTTGGCCCCTCCTGGCCTGTGCTCATCGGCGGGTTTATGAGACGCGTATGCCTTTCATGAGACGCGTATGCCTTTCGGGGGTGTTAGACGTCTTGTGAAGCTAACTTTTCCTATCATGTTCCGAGATTATAAAATTCATTAACACAGCAATTTCCTTTATTTTTTTATTAAATATTATATCTCATGAAAGTTCTTTATAATAATATTGAATATTGTACTATCCCAAGAAAGTTACATAACGAAAAGAGCGAAATAATTGAAAATATATGATGCTATCAGGGATCCTAGGCAATTTACATCAAGTTATTTCTTTGCTCTCTAACTTTTACGGAATATTTCTATAGCTAATTTGTTTCTATCGCTAATATTGCTAACTATAAGTTTCTCACACTTTAATAGTTTATCCGTGATGAATTAATTTCGAACCTATAGCACCGGGGAATAGAAATAAGTATCTGCCAATAATTTTCGATAAAAAAATAAATGATACACTACTAATACACTTCATTTCACCATTACCACTATGTTTCATTTTTTGTAGCATTCCACCATACTTTCGTTTGATTTTTACTTATATTCTTATATTTGCACAATATAACGCAATTAATTATTGTAGATAGAATTCTACTTTGATATGTAAAGCAAAGTTTTATTTAAAGCAAATCAAAAAGACTTAGTGTTAATGCTATATATTGTATTTTCATGTATAAAGAATCATACATTATATCTGAATAAATTTGCAGTTTTCTTGGAGGATTTTTTAAAAAAAAAAAAAAATCTTTCTGAAATTACCTGTTTAAATAGATGATAAGTTTGATATTGTCATAGCAGAACAGCGAATCGAGAAAGTTTTGAACTAGCCATTGAACGTTTATGTCATTTGGCCGCAGCCAAACTTAATTTTTTTGGCAGTAGATAAGCAATAATTAAACGTCCCGAAAAAGTAGTTGTTGCAAAAAATGCAATAATTGAATGTTTTGAGGCATTCATCATTTCTGACGATATTTACTGTCTGTCTCCCCTTTAATTAATATCAAACAGATGTAGCAACCTTTTTTTTTTTTTTTTTTTTTAATAATTTACAATATACGTATATTTTAAAACGGCCAATATCTATCACCGAAATCATACTTTCCTAACTTTTAATTTATTACTTTTTTTTTTTTTTGAAAATTATATTAATTGCGATAAATAATATTAATTATTAGATCATCGTTATAATTAATTATTTCCCAATCCACCATTTAATAATCTTAGCCAAATGTTTCCACAAATTATCATCATCTTTAGACTCAATTTTATCATCAAATGATAAACAATCATCTTTCTCCAAAACTTTTGCTTTATGATCATTAATATTTTGTTTTACATCCTGATATATTCTTTTAAATTCCAATTCAAGGTTTAAATAACCACGTCGAACAGCATAAGGAGCAATTGTATTATAAGAACGTAACCTACTGTTTAACTTATTAATAGCTTTCTCATAATATGATAATTCTCTTTTTTCCCAAGGAATATTTCGACTGTTTGAATCGATATTATTAATGCTTGCATAGCGGATCCAACTTTCTCTCAAGCGTTGACGAAATAGAGAAATTTCTCTATCCACATCTTTTTGATATTCTATCCATGCCGGCACTGAACCTTGTCTTTGCACAAGCCTATTCCTAAAAGAAAAAAAAGAAAGATAAGTGTAAAGGTACAAGAAATAGGAAACATTAATCAGCATTCACTTACATGAAGAATTCCGTACGATCCAAATAAGGATTCTATCTGGTTAAAACGAATTAATTAGTGTAAAAGTATTAAAAAAATTAAAAAATTCCATGCTTTGATGATAATTACCCTTTCATTTGGATCCGATGGTAAAGGTTTACCACGATAAGGAAGATTTCTAAATTCACCAGCAGCCATAGCCTCTTGAATACGACTCTCCACTAAATTATTCCAGCCAGAAATACTTTTTGGTACGACCTTTGGTTGTTCACTTTCAGATTCTACGCCAAGTTTTTTATTAATTGAATAATCTGTTGCAGCGTCTTTTGCAATTAGTAAACGAAATTGTTTAGCCTCTCGAATTTTTTCAAGTTTCTCGTTTTTTGATACCGTAGCTGATCTTTTATTTGAGATTACGCTATTTGAAGGTGAATCAGGAAGGGTAGTGGAAGGAAATTTACTTATAGGGAGAGGAGGCAAATTTGCTTTGAATTTTTCTGATGAACTGTTAAATTCTTTAATGGAATTTCTTTTTATCTTTAATGGAGGATATTTATCTACTATCATCCTTAATACCGTTGTTTTGATATCTTCTTCTCCCGTCCATGGTATATCATTTCCTTTTACAAAGGAATTTTTGAGAATTGTATTTAATGATGCTGATGATTTATTTTCATTACCTTCTTGCTTTTCTAAAATTATAGAATTTTCGTTAGGATGATTTGTTGACTTGAAACGAAAATGTAAAAGGGAATTTGTGAAAAGAATCTTGGTATTGAAGAAAATTACTTGATTATTGAAACGATTAGTACGAATTAAGGGCATGTTCTGGAATCCTAAAAAATTCAAAAGTAGAAAAGTAGTGGACAATCGATTTTTTGAATTTATAATTATTGGCTGATGAGTTTGTGTGACGCTAACTAAAAAAAAGTGGATCGGTTTTTTTTTTAAACGAATGTAAAAAACGCGTTTTTTTTATTTTTTTAAAAAAAAAAGACTTAAAAATAAACATGCCTTTAGAATCTGGTTTAAAATACTACAACTAATATAAATCTGGATCTCGAGAGGAAATAACTAAAAGTACCATCACAGTTAAACTTTAAACCATTTACTAAACAAAATTTCTTCTCCAGCAACAGCAAAAATTTCCTTCCTCAACAACAGCAAAAAAAAAAATCTTCCGGCTTGATAATAAGGTCTTTTTACAAAAAAATGTTCCGTGATGATCAAATAAGCCGATCAAATATTTCGAACTCACGTTTTAGGATTGGTTAATGGATTTTGCATGTAAATCTCTCCTAATTATTATGATATGTAACTATTTCAAAAAAATTCTTTCATTTTAAAAAAAATATTTATAATAAAAAAGATGAATAGCTTTTTTATTAGAAATCAATCAGTATTAATAGGTGCTATACTTGGAATCGGAATTGGCCTTTACACCTTTGTTCCCGCATTCGAGCAATTAAAACGGTAATTTATAATATAAACATGAAAATATTTTTTTTTTTACCGATTTTTAATTTAATTTTTTTAAATAGAGAGACGGATCGAGCCTATAACCTTTCCAAAATTCAACCCGAGAATAATTCAAATATCGCTTCAAATAAAGGAGCGGTTTCGGAAAGCAAAACAAATACGTAATCCGATGACATAGGCGCAATTTATTATATTTTACGGCCAAATTAAAGAGAAAATATCTAGCTGCAAAATTTAATCATCAATATTTGTATACTTGAAAAGAAAAATTAAATATTAACGTTAGTAAATTAACAATTATATGACAAGTAATATCATCATTATCTTTTTTTTACCTCAATATCGTCCATTTCATTTTCCATCATTTTAACGTGTTCAACAACCTTTCGCACTAAACGTTTATTCTCTTTGAGATTATGTTCCATAATTTGTTTATCACAGCCCGGAATTGGACATGATATAACGTTGCCGTTACGGCTCATTAACTGCATAATAGCATCTTTAGAGAACGTATGCTTGCACAATTCACTAAATCAATTAAAAACGAAATGTGTGAATAAAATTTGGTCGAAAAAAAAAATATATATATAAAAAATATTTTAATCACAACCTTGTTACCGGATTGTCCAACAGTAAAGTCGTGATTGGGCAATGTAAAGATTCTTTTTGAGGTCCAACCACAAGGTCATCATCTTCATTTTGATTCATTGGTGGCATTGGTTCATTTTCATGTTTAACTTCCTATCAAATAACGAAAAAAAATTACAAAAGCTGTCAAAAAATTGGTGGCTATATATTTCTTATGCTCACCCAAATTTTTTGTCGAAAATCATTATAATTTTCGTTCTTGAAATATTTATCTTCTTCTGAACTTTGTGAATAATCTCTAAACGCCTTTTCACATTCTTGTTCATAAATAATTACAACATCATCCTAATGTTGATAAGAGCATAAAAAGTCATTTAATAATATTAAAAAAAAAAATTGGTTTACGATCATAAATCGATATTTACAAATTTGCGTCCTGCATTTACTCTAACTTGAATTCTTTCCAATACATCTTTTTGCAAAGCGAGTTTATTTTCAATATCAATCATATTTCGTACAGTTTCATCCAATTGTTGCACCTGTTACGAATCATTATTATTTGTAAAGGAGTCCCTTAAATAAACAACAACGACGAAAAAAAAACAAGCTACAAAACCTCTTCTTCTTCGTCCGCTTGCTCAAGGTCAACTGCAGAGTCTGCTGCATAGTTTATACCTTTTAAAATAAATTGGGATAATTCATCACTGTCTCCATACAAACTATCATATTCTTTTTGCTCACTAAATGACAAACTTGTATTGCCTTCTAAAGAATTTTGGGAACGTCTAGTTGACATTTCTGCAAACACGAATTTTATTGACGCGTATCTATAAACGTATATCTATGGGTTGGTGGTGATACAGATGATACAAAAGTTCGGATACAACCGACCAAAAATGGTAATTCTTAAAATGGGATGTTTTTATAAGTACTTCTAATTTAAGAAAGCTCTTTAAAAACACAATTTTAATTTAAATTAATATAAATTAATAATTAGCTAACTTAAAAATTTGATTTTCAATATTTATTAAATATAAAAATTTACATTAAAATTATATAATTAATTATTATAATTCAATACCCCACCTTCTTACCAAGACTATATAAAGCAGCGGGCTGTTTCCTTTTTTTTTTTCCTTAGCCTTGTTCACAGAACTATTTTGAACTAAAAGTTAAGATCACTTGGCTGTGGCCTCCAAGCCAATACTTATTACCCCTCCGCAACGGCTTAGGGTTCCTTCCAGAAAAAACAAGTTGTTCTTTTATTAATTTTAATATTAATATTAATAATGTTAAATTATAAACTATAAATTATATTATGATAGATATTTTTTTTCATGACAATTCCTAGATTGTTATAAAGTTAATAATCAGTGAATATCCAAATCTAATTATCCAAAACTTTCAAAATTGTTTAAAATTATATTTCTGGCAATCTTCCCTAATTGCACATTCCTTTCTAAAATTATTACGAAATAATCAGGCTTGAGAAAGAAAAAAAAAAGGTATTTTCTCTTACACACCATCTTTTGAATATTGGGTTCACTAATCGATCCGAATTTCTGATGTTTAAATAAATCTTTTTATTAAAAAAAAGAATATGATCAAATTTTTAACATCTATAGAATTAATCCTGTTCTCTTGATTTACTTATAGAAAAGATAGTAACGAATCCAACTACAATGATGGCGCTCCAACCTTTCCAAACATTAAAGCATTGTCCTTCGTCAATATGACAAAACATAAAGTGACTTAAACCAAATACAACAATAGCTCTTAATGAATTTAATATCCCGGTAGAGACGTTACCAAGTTCTTTCATCAACCAATAATAAGCCAAATTATGAATGAATGATGCGAACACTAATAACAGATACATTAAAATTATAATAAATGTACTTGAATGAGGTACTTTCTTTTCCATTTCTTCCGTTATTAATGTATTCCAATTTGGAATTGTATATAATATAATATAAATGAATGATATAATTGTACTATTCGTTCCTACTAAAAAACACACTTTTTCTGGTGATGGCGGACGCGTGTCCGGTGTATGAGCAGTTAGAATTTGATCTGATACTACGTAAACGCATGCATATCCAAATGTCGAAAATGATGTTAAAATCATCCCAAACATCATGGATGATACGTGATATGAATGATCTGATGATGGATCTGATGTACTTTGATTTATTCCTAATGCGCTAAGTGCAAGTCCAATAGATACGCCCACAATGGATGCTGATTGCAATAAAGAAATTTTTCGTCCGAGAAAAAAAAAGGAAAGAATAGCACACCAGATAACAACTGAACTGTATATTACTTGGTACATCTATAATCCATAAAGTTTTAAAGAAAATTTTAATTTATAATGATAAAGTTTTTTTTCTTTCTTTTTTAACTTACCCCACTTCCTACGTAGAAAAATCCAATCGTTAAAGCGAAATTGGCAATGACATCCAAGAAAGAGGCAGCAATAATCATTTTATAATTAACGACCTCTTTTGGTGCTGATTTCACGTCATTATCATTTTGTGTCAAAATGGAACCGTCTATATCCGTGTAATTATCTTCCTCGGCTTCTTCTGGTAATAAATGGTAGTTTTTTCCTGTTGCCGTTGCCTAAAGTCAAATAGGATAGTAGATCGAACAAATAATTTGTGGTCACATCTTTGTCTTGGAAAATTAATTGATCCTTTTTTTTGAAAGGAAAAAGGAAATAAAATAATAGGAAAAAAAAAAAAAACCACTTAGGAATTAATTATATATATATATTAATTTATTATATATTAAGAACACCACATGGCTAACAACTACCATGTTAACTTCCAATTCTCCAATTCTATCATTAATAGATTTTCTTCTCCTTAACCACTTTGGCAATAAAAAGAACCCAACTGCCGCCATGCCCATATACATTGCTGTATTAGTAAGCAGGCTAAATTATGTTCGTTTATAAAAAGGAATTTGTTAATAATCTATACAATATATATTTCAACGTTCTACCAATTCCCAACGAATTTACCTTAGTCCGGCTAAAATTAAGAATAAATATTTTAGGTCTTTTTTTTTTGTCCAAACAAAAAAAAAAAAATCACTTTTTACTTACTTGCAGCACCTTGATAATATAAAAATTGTTGGCCGAGAGTTTGAAAAAAACCAGAAAATAAAAACAAAGCTTCATAGAAAATAATAGATACTATTGTTGGCTTTGTTGATTTCAACATTATACTGAAATATATGCTAATTAAAAAAAGGTTGTTCGCTCAACGAAAACTAAGTCCAAGGTTTATCTGGAAAATAATTAACTAAATAAATGTCTATCTCACAATCACGTGTATGCTAATGAATGATATGCGAGTGTGCACTTATCGGTATTAGGCGCTCAATAAGGAGTTTATAACATTTCTAACATCCTAAATTTGATAGATAAGTCGTGACTGACGAGAAAAACCAAATTTTCTTTTATCACTTTATAATAATTCTACATGTAAATATTATAATTTGCTTTGCATTGCCTATTTTCAATTTAGTAATTCTTTGTTGCAATAAATTTCTAATAACTCACTCAATTAACTCGCTTTGTGTTTACTTTTTTTTATTTTGAAAGATTTATTTTTTTTTTTTCTGTTTTAATTTTATAGTATACTATTTTTAAAAAGATGCAATTATTCTTTTCTCGTCAAAAACCAAAAGCCGACGCTAAAAGTGCTATAGTTCGTCTCAGAGAAACTTTGGATATGTTAGGAAAACGGGAGAGTCATTTGCAATCTAAGATTGATGCTGAACTTAAAAATGCCAAATCAAATGCTGCTACTAATAAAAGAGGTGGGTATTAGTTCAAAGTATAATAACGTTGTTTACATGAGAAATTTCTTTTCAAATTTATTATTATTACGTGGAAAACGTCGCGTTTTGCATGACTTTTTTCTTTAAACTTAAGTTTTGTATTTAATATTTATTTTAAATTTAATCTAAATGTTAAAAATGTTATTACTGAGGAAATGACTTTTTTATTTATGGTTTTTTTTAGCTGCTCTGATGGCACTTAAACGAAAAAAACAATATGAAAATCAGATCGAAAAGATATCCGGAGCACGTATTACAATTGAAGCACAAGTTATGGCAATTGAAAATGCAAATGTCAATTTGGAAACCATTAAAGCTATGGAAAAAGGTGCCGAAGCAATGAAAGCGATACACAATAACATGTATATTATTGTTCGATTGTATTTCTCTAAAAAATAAAAAAATTATTTTATAAAATAAAATCATCGAAAACGATTTTTCTTTTTTTTATTTTCTTTAAGGGATATGAATAAAGTGGATGATACAATGGACTCTATACGCGAACAAATCGATTTGGCGGATGAAATTTCAAATGCTATTTCTGCACCAATGATTGGAATCGATCTGGACGATGTATGAATTTATCTTATTTGAGTAAATTATTATCAGATCGAAAGGTGTTATTCATTTATTTATTTATTATTGTTTTTGTTGTTGTTGTTGTTTAGGACGAACTGACGGCAGAGTTAGAAGAATTAGAACAAGAAGTTCTTGATAGTCAGTTGCTTGGAGCAGACGCCCCACCTGTTACTGTTCCCAACGTGCCAACAACCGAACCTGGTATGAAATTCGTCTTCGTTTTAACAAATATCTTGTTTTATAATATAACAATTAACATTGACTTATTTAATTTTTCAATAGCAATCAAAAGGAGAGTTGAAGAACAAGATGAAGACGAAGAACTGGCAGAATTACGTGCAACCATGGCTTTGTAACTTAATAATCGATGATTTAATAATAATATTATTATTAGGTTTTTAAAGAGCAAACTTTAGGAATAATTTGTTATTATTATTATTTTTTAATTACCCCTTTTTGTTTCTTCTTTGTATGATTTATTTTACATTGCAATTTTTATTTTATTTTCGCTTGTTCTATATTTAGAGTATTTAGAGTGGATCAAAAAAGATTGCAGAAGTAAAACAATTGCAATGCGAATACAAGCTAGAATTAAGAACAACCAATATCAAAAATTCATATAAATTAAAAGTTTAAAATAAAAAAAAATATTATAATTATTTAACTGCATAAATTTCTTGAAGAATAGCAAATAATTTCTTTAATTACTTTCTAAAAAATCCTAAAACACAGAGATTATAATGTAATAATTCTTCTATCCTGTTCCATTCTTTTTTATGTTCATTTAATATAGTAATTAAATGATTCGAAAGTTGTTCATTATGATTATTTGATAAAATAATATCACCATAAATTTTTAGAAAATGGTTTAAATAAGCTTGTGCTAATTCAAAATCTTTTTTCGTTTTGAGTTTAAATTCTATTGCTTCTAAAAAATAATTTAATTCTATTAAATTATTTTCGAGACTTAATGATCTTAATTCAAAATCAATTGCTGAAGGATTTAAGGTTTTTACAAAATTAAAAAATTCTGTATCTATAAAAGGAAAAAAATAAATATGTGTATCAATATATAGTATTTTTAAAAAGAACGCAAATTAAATTATAACTCACAATTTTCTTCTTCATGATTCTTTTTTAACATTTTCAAAAATTCGGTTTCCATTTTAATATCAGACATTTGTATAACGTTTCCAGATTTTTTCTTGTCTTTAGACTCATTTAAATCATTTAATGGTACAAATTTAGGTTTAACACCAGGTAAAGTGGGTAAGAAAAAGGGCGCTTTATTATCTGATTTAGGAGGTTCCTTAGGCTTATTTCTTTTCTATTATCACAAAGTATAAATTAGAATTATTTAAATAATAAAATAATTAAAAATTACAATTACGAATACCTTAATAGTCTCCAAGTTTAGCAAGTTCTGCCACTTGGACTTTGGTAGTAATGATAATGTTATCATTTGTTCAGTGAGTTGTTCCACGGTTTCAAACGACTTGTCATCTTTCTTATCACCATCTACTTCATTCAAATAATCTAAAATAAAATTAATTCTCATTAATTGTCTATTAAGCAACTTTAATTTCAGCGTATTGTATAAAAATTATACCTTCGTTATCACTTTCCAAACCGGTAGTGGTTGGAAGTGTTATTGTAGATATTTCATCATCTTCGGAAATATTTCGTAAAGAAATATTAGAGAATTGGGTACGATTTGCCCTACGATCATTCAAAAGAAAATTTTTTTTTGATTTGGTATTATGTGTCATGTCATTTATTAGTTGATTTAATTTCTTACCATAAAAACATTCCAACATTATCAACATGTGAAGTGGCCAAAAAATCACCAGTTGGGGAAAATGTAACACTTGTGGCGATATCATCAACTCGAAAAATATCAATTAAATGACCTGTTGGAAGATCCCAAGTACGAATCGTAGCATCAAGAGATGTAGATACAATCCATCTTCCATCAGGACTAAATGTCTATTATATAAAGCATTTAATCTTATAATCCATGATTATTATTAATATCAATCGTGTAAAAACCTACCAAATCAGTAATCCTATTCCGATGTCCCCAAAATTCTCTTACAATTTTACAAGTTTCCACGTCAATAACGCGTACACATAAATCATCATTAATTATCGCTAATAAATCATTATTACAATGAAATAGCATGGTGGTTATAGGTGACATGATATCAATAGTATGCAAAACTTTCGCTTTATTGAAATCCCATATCTAAAAAAAATACATATATCTCTCTTAATAAATTAAATTTAAAAGTTTTTTAAAAAAAAATAAAAAAGTAAATACCTTAACAGTGCCATCAAGAGAACTGCTAATTAATTTACGATTAAGTGAATCACTTGCTAATCCAGATATCAACTTTTTATGTCCTTTATTATTATGAAAGGCTATTAGTAAATATGGAAATCAATAATTTACGAATGAATGTAACAAACAAAATTTTATTTTGATACCATCATTCCCAGCAAAAGTTTTTCTATGTAACCCAGATTGCATATTAAACATTTCAATTACACCAGATGATGTTCCAATGAATCCAAAATTTCCGCATGCACTTATATTTGTTGCCTATATTGATAACGAATGATTTTTACGATACAGAATTTTTGTTAAAAATCAAAAAATTATTTTCAACTAGTACAAACCTTAATCGATGACCCATCAAGAGTTTTAAAAACATGTTGCCCTAGTGCTCTTCTCTGAAATGACCAAGTTCGAGCTCTCGAATCATTAATATGACATGTAAGGATATTATCCCATTCTTTTTGTTTAGATTCAGCTACAAACATAATTTTAATTAAAAAGTATTAATATTAAATAATAAATTCAATCATCAATTTACAATATCTCTCTACCGCATAAATAAACTCACATGATGAGAAGTTTATAATCTGCGGAAATTTGAGTTCATCAACGTGTTTTCTAGAACGTTTGGATTGTTTTATAATGGATCCTAAAAGTAAAATATCATTAAATGAATGATGTACTGCACGTTACTAGAAATATTAATAAAGATAATTTAGCCAAACCTTGTGATAATTCTACACTCTGGGAATCGCGAATTATTGAAAATATTCTAAGTGATCTATCTCCTGCTGCACTAAGAATGAAATGTCCGGAAGATCCATAATATTCAATCTTTGTTGGCGGTGAATGATGCCCACTTCTTGATTTTAGAATACGATGTTCAAACCCATTTTGACCCTCAAAAATCCATTCCTAAGAATATATGTAGGGAATTGATAAAATTTAAATTTATGATAATATGTAATAATAAAAAAATATATATATATTTATTTATATACTTTTATTGAATTATCAGCGCCGGACGTTATTAATATAGGTTGCCCATTAAGAAATTGTATTGAAGGAATTAATCCATCATGAGCACCTTTTATAACATCATATAATTTCTGATTATCAAGATCCCATAGAGTTATGTCACCATGCATATTAGCAGAAACCATAACGTGCTTATCATCTGAAGAAACAAAACAACATATGGTTTAGTTAAAAGATTTTAGTGCTAACATATGAAAAATATTTTCTTAATAAAAACCTGTTCTGAACGAAATTGAAGTTACACTTCCTTCTTGCTTCAAAGATATTATACGTTCATCTAATTTAATATTGTACAAAATTATTGTTCCATTAAGTAAACCAATAGCAATAACATCCACAACAGGAGATTGTGTAAGGAAAGTAATTGCGGATCCAAATGAAGGAAATGAATATTTCACTTTCCTATCATGGAAGAAATATATAAACATAAATAATGAAAATATAATTTAATTAAATATTACAATATAATTACTTTGTACGAATATTCCAAATCTGCATTATTCCCTGTTTACTGCCAAGTAATATTTTGTTTAAATAAGTGCTCGGATGAACGATCGTTGATAAAGTGAAATTCTCATCAAATTGGATTTCACCACAAAGCTCTGAATAATTAAGAATCCATTAAAAGAAATTCTTTTATTTTTTTTTTCTCAAAGAAAAATTTAAATAAATATATACCTCCAGAAACATGATCCCAAAAAGTAAGTAAGTTATCATCGCTTAAAGCAATAACATAATTACTAAAAATTGCGAGTATAAAAATATGTCCTTTTATGTTTCCAATATATCTATTAACCTAGAAAAAAAAAATCAAATTTTTCATAAAAAAAACATTGAATCTTTAAAATTTATATTAAGAGTTTTAAAATTCACCTCTTTACCACGATGGTAAACAATTAGCTCTTTCCCGCATGCAACAAAAGTATTTTCATTTAATGAAGCTATAGCTGTAATAGGTTTACTTGTTTGAGAACCTTTTGGTTATTAATAAATGAAAATTAGAGGACCTATAACAAATAATAACTTAAATTTGCTGAAATATCTTTGTATCATACCTACAGTTATCAAATTTAGCTTTTCACACTTTAAACATAAGAAGATAATAATAATAATAATAAATTTAATAAATTCTTTTTTTTTATTTTAAAATAAAAATAAATGTCAAAATATCGCATTAGTTTACGTACATCATATACATGAAAACTGTTACCGACGCAAGTTGTAAGATAGTATACTTCTCCTTTTTTCTGAATGTCAAAAGGTATATAATTTGTAACATATCCAATTGCACGAAAAGGTTGAAAAATATGAGTCTTATTCTTCGATGATTGAAATCCTTCGGTTACTTCATTTTTTTCTAATTTGAATTTCTTAAACATTGTTAAAATATATCCAAAAAATGTTTTTTTTTTGTAATTTTTACAAATTTTACGATAATCTAAAAAATTTTTTTGCTGATCCTTAAAGTCATGTGAAAAGCACTAATCACGTGACGTTTACTTTTATGGAAGCTTTTCCAAATTAGGGACGCGTCCAAAGTCATTTAAGGCGAAATGTTATCTTCAAAGACTAAATGCACACACTATATAAATGTACGAGCTCATTCAGTCCCAAGCATATAAACAGAAATTATAGAAATTTCTCCTTAAATGCATTGTCTTGGGGGAGTGATTTTATTCGTTTGTCATAAAATTACAAACATGAAAGTTGAAAGTGTTGGACGGGCAGGAAAGTGTTGGTGATTTTTGTTGAAAACAATTTCGTTGTAAGATTGGTTGAATGTAATCGAAAACATCTCTTAATCTGAGTCGATGTGTTAATGTTTATGTATTATCATCATTAATGGTGGAGGTTATCTCTTTAACAAGGAAAGTCAATTGATTTGCCATATATTTATGTCTGTTTCTAAGCTGAAAATCAGAAGCTGCCTGATCTGTCAACAGTTCATTGTAAACCGCCATACTTAAAGAGACAATTTACTTTGAACTTGAAGTAGACATCAGAAGCTCTGTTAACAATGAATTTCCCGTAAATTAAATAATTATTACTATTAAATTATTTCAAATAAAATTATTTAATATGCATTTGGTATATATTCTTCAAATTTGAAATCCTATTTTTTTTAAAAAAAAACCAAAATATGAATTTCATTTTATTATTTTGATCAATACGTGAAAGTCTTGATTTTTGATTTAACAATATATAGGCTAAAATCCCGCTTTTAAGTATGCACGCAATTTCTAAATTGAACAAGTTTTATATTACGATATGGAACAATTTAACTTATTACAGCATTAAAATAATAGGCATCATTTTGACTCATTAATTTTATATTACAATTCTGTTAACTTTATTTTAACATGAAAAAACAAAAAAAAAAATTTTTTTTTTTCATTGTTTGTCGTAATCTAATATTAATGTATAAAAAGTTAAATTTTTTTTTTTTTGATCGATTGTCTTTGGATTGTATTTTAAATAATAAATAATAATAATGCCTAAATGCTTATTTTACGGACAAATTTAAATCTTTAAAATCTGTTGGTAGCCATATCACCACGAACTCTATTATAATCTGGAAGTCCTTCAACTATAATAATAATCAAGAATTATTATATTAAAAATAAATAAATAAGGTTTTAAAAAAAATTAATATTAAACATACCTGGACCGATTCCAACAACAGCAACATCTTGATCCCATAAATATTCTCCGGCTACTCTACGTACATCATCAACAGTAACCTTAGATACGATAGCTTCAACCTCTTGAGGACTACGTCTTTTGCCTGTTGTTATTAATTGACGTCCAACATCTTCAGCAATTGCTGTTGTGCCATCAAGATTCAATAAAAGCGAAGCTTTGAGCTGTTGTTTTGCTCGCTCAACTTCAGATTCCGTGACCGATGTGTGCAATCTTGAAAAAAATAAAAATAAAAAATAAAAATTTTACAACTTAATAAATCAGAATTTTTTTTTTTTTTTTTAAAAAAAAAATATATATATATCATGATGTTTACCTCCAAAGTTCTTTGCAAGTAAAATGTACCAAATCATCTAAATTATCTTTATTTTCTGTTATAAGATAAATGCCAAATAATCCAGTATCACTATAACTTGTGTTAAAAGCTTGGAAAGAATTTGCAAGTTGATTTTGATGAATAACATGAGAAAGACGAGAAGATGAATGTCGAGCGGAACCAAGAGATCTATCCCAAGTTCCAATTACAGCTTGTGCAACTAACATAGGATAATAATCCGGTGAAGTCCATCCAACACTTTCAACTGCGAGAGTTATATGAGCTTGAGGTAATTCATCATTTCTTACTCTAACTTCTGATCCAGTAAATGGAGGTCTTACACCATGAGTACTACCGAGTGACAAAGGATTTGACGAAACTGGTAAAGAAGAAAAATGTTTTTCGGCTAGTTTTACAAGTTCTTCATGATCAATACCACCGGTTCCCACCAATACCATGCGATCTGCTGTATAATTTTTACTAATATAATCTGCAAGATCTTTACGACTAAGAGAAAGGATATTTTCTTTTGGTCCAAGAATAGTACGACCCAATGAATGACCTAAAATCGTATAAAGACATTTGTTAAATCAAGGTGTTGAATTTATAATTAAATAGATATACTTATAACTTGATTTTAACCTTGGAATGCGGTGGCATGCAAATGATCAAAAACAACTTCATCGAGTAATTTATTCACTTCTTCCTGTTCCCTTAAAATGACTTCACGTTCACGTTCAATAGCATGGTCTTCCAATGTAGAATTTTGCAAGATATCAGATAAGATTTCAACAGCTACCTTAGCATCATTTTTAAAAGTTTTAGCATAATATACTGTTTGCTCACGAGAAGTGTAAGCATTCAAATGTGCTCCAATATTTTCAATGAAAAGTTCCAATTGATGCTGAGAACGAGATTTCGTTCCCTAGAAAAAAAAAAAATTTTTTTTATATAATAAATAAAAATACATTATTAATGAATCCATAAAGAATTAATTTATTTAATAAATCTACCTTAAATGCCATATGTTCCAAAAAATGAGCAGCTCCGTTATTATTTGCGTTTTCAGCTCTACTTCCGGCGTTAATCCATACCCCAACAGTTGCTGTCTGTGCAAACGCATTAGCTTCAGTCGCAACCGTCAAGCCATTTGGAAGTACCGTAGAACGTGTTATTTGCTGAGGAAAAGATGTTTCAGAGGCAAAAGAGCGGGTAAACTACAAATTTATCCAGTACGATGTATAAATGTTGTATTAGTTAATGGTATTAATGAACTCCTCAAGACCCTTTAAAAAGTTCTTAAAGTATTAATACCTTTCTCTTCAGCCCACGACCAGCCTGACGCCTTAATGCGTTTGATAGCATGAACAGAGACGCCATTTGCTAATTCTTAAAGAAATCCTTTTAAAATAACGTAAGCGAATCGCAAAGCCACTAACTGCAATCAAAATCTCGAAATCTTTTTTTCGAATATCATGTGACTTAGAACATTTGGTTACACAAAGAAGCAAAGTAACGTAAAATTTAATATTAGATTTGTAAAAAATGAATTACAAATGTTATAAGTAAAAATTTTCTACATTCAGATTCTTTATTTTTTATATATTTATTAGAAAAATTTTTTTAAATAAAAGATTTTAATATTATTTGATTTTATTAAAAAAAAGAAATTTAAAAGAAAAAATTTGGAAAAAATAAAAAAAAATAAAATAAAAACAATTATATAATCTTATTACTAGATTCAAGTTTTTAGTTAAATTTTTACTATACAATATTTTATGTTTCTTTTACATTTTAATTGTCAAATCAATATCTTTATTTTATAGTATTTCTAGCCTATTTAGAATATATTTTAAGATATCAAAATCTTTATACTATATTACTTGCTTTTAAAAGTCAAAAAATCATGAAAATATAAAGTAACTAAAATGACTTTAAAATTATAATATACAGTAAGTTTAATTGTTATATTATAATTTTATGTTTAATACTAAAAGTAATTTTTTATATTAAAAATCTAATCTCTAAATCAAAATATCTTATCAAAATTATTAATTATTTTAGAATTTTTAATAAACTTTCTTATAATATTAGAATAATTTATTTATAATTAATAATAATATAAATAAATATAATCAAAATCAATTATCAATACAATAAAGAAAACTAGAACTAATATTAAATTACAAACTTAATTATAAAAATTTATTTTTTAAAAATATAAAATTTAAATTAATTTATAAATAAAATTTTTTAAATAAAAAAATACTATTTAATATTTTTTTAAATTAAAAAATAAAAAATTTTTAATTAATACATTTATTTAGATTAAA